CCCCGGCTGCAGTACGTAACCCGCCTGCAGATTTGGAAAGGGGTACTGAGGAAAGAAGGGTGAAGGACAAAGGAAAGAACATCATAGAGGATCCGGTAGAAGAGGCCGAGACATTGGACGATGATGCATTACAGGGTCCTGCATTAGACGATGTTGGACCCAGTGGAAATGGCAGCGAAGCCCTACAGAAGAGGTCGAAACGGAAAAAATTCAAAAATAAGATCAGTAGACGGTTGAAGAGGCTCGATGACTGAGTTGGTGCTATCGAGGCCACACTGACTGGATTCGAGGCCACACTGACTGGCTTCGGGGTCGCCCTGAAAGGTATCCAGAGATATCTTAAGAAAATGTCGAAGGTACGCATTTTATATGTATATAACATTAGGTATGCTTAGTTATTAATTATGATTAGTTGGGTCCGAGATAACGCTCATTGGTCCGTACTTTTCGTGCAGGGTAAATTCTCTGATCCGACCAAATATTTTGGACGTGGGGGTGGGCCCGATGATGATGATCCATCAGATCAAAGGCCTGATGAGGCCCCAACACGAGGTCCGAAGAGTATGGACGAGGACCGGAGGCTGGAAGAGGTCCCTAAGACTGACGAGTATCGGACCATGGACGATAATCCGAAGAGTATGGACGAGGATCCGAAGAATATGGACGAGGATCCGATGTTTATGGTTGAAGACCAGGGTACGATAACGGAGCGGGACGATGCATCGGATGCTTACCCTGATCGTCCTGTTGGTTTGTTTCAGGTAAGTCCTATTTCTATAACGCTAGTATACGTTTGTGCTTCCATATACCAATATAATTAATATTGGTTGTATATTAGGACGCCACTGTTGGAATGCAAGAGCCGGACGTTGCGTCAGATACGCGACCCGTCAGCCGACGCGTTAGGCGTCCCTATAAGGACTGGGCACCGGACGCAGTCATTAAGGTAAACTGTCATTACATATACATATTAGCTGTCAGCTGTCATTACACGAACTCACATGTGTATTGTGTTTTAGGTTGAACCTTACCTTGACCAGGACGAATATGACCTTCAGCAGGCCCCAATTGGGCATGGGCTACGCAAGAGGCATTACTCGTGGAAGCTGAAGGATATATACACACCAACCGGTCAGCGTGGGATCACCGTGGATAGATACGACCCAGTATGTCCCATTCCACCGCAGTTGGACGATAAGTTCCAGAGATGGATGGATGACCCGAAGACGGACAGRAGATTGCGGTCCACTGCAACTGGTTTCCAAAAGAAGGAATGATATCGCGATCTATTGAACCCTAGTGTTGAATTGAAGGACGAAGTAAGTACATGTTACTATATTCGTAGTACTATATTCGTCAATATGTTTGATTACATCAATGTGAATTGGTTAAATGTAACAGGTACTTGATGGTCTCGTCCTGTTTACAGCGAAAAAGTTGGAGAAGTGTCTCCATCTATGTCGCAAGAAGTTTGC